CGGCGGGAGGCGGTGGCACCGGCGGTACCGGGGCCGCTGCCGGACGCTGTCGGTCTCGGTACCCCTTCAGGGGCGGCTGCGCCTCCTCCCCCGGTGCCCTCCGGGTCCGGCCCCGCCGAGCGCGGAAGGCAGAGCCCGGTGAGTCCCTCGCCGGTGTCCCCGCGCGGCGGGAGGCGGTGGCACCGGCGGTACCGGGGCCGCTGCCGGACGCTGTCGGTCTCGGTACCCCTTCAGGGGCGGCTGCGCCTCCTCCCCCGGTGCCCTCCGGGTCCGGCCCCGCCGAGCGCGGAAGGCAGAGCCCGGTGAGTCCCTCGCCGGTGTCCCCGCGCGGTCACACCGGGGACACCGGCGCTTGGCGTCTCGCCCTCTGGGCCCAAGCGCCGCTGGCTGTCCGGGCACGCCGTGCTCTGGCCGGTCCCGAAGGTGGCCGGTGCGGGCTGCAGCCCAGCCGTGTGCCCGGGCTGCGCCCGACCCCATCCGCATCGCTCGCTGGGCTCCCCGGTGGCTCCGCTCCCTCCCGGGCCGTGCGGGCCGCGCTCGGCCTCTCGCGGATCGCTGCTGTCCCTTTGCAGGTCCCGCGGGCGCTGGTGTGCCGGGCTGTGGCCGTCCCGCGGAGCCGCGGCCGTGCCGTGCTGCCAGCGATGATTCCCCGCTGACGGGTACAGCCCTGGCCGTCTGTCGCTCTCCGGTCACCACGGAAATCCCGCCGCTGCACGGCTGCCCCGACCGCTGCAGCTGCCCGCTCCCCGGGAAGCGCCGTGTCCCTGGGGGCATGCGGAGCCACCCAGTGCCTGGCCCAGCAGAGCAGGTATGCTGGGACTGCTCAGCCTCAGCTGGGTGTCACTGGTTCTGTCACTGGTTCTGTCACTGGTTCTGTCACTGGTTCTGGACTCTGACACAGGAGTGCTCTGCCGGCTCTGGGGTCTGGCAGTGCTGCTGAGTGGGGAGGGCAGGGGCAGCTTTGGGGTGGAGAGAGGGAACGACCATGGGGAGGGAGTGGATTTGTGAGCTCTAAGCGAGGAAAATGGACAGATTTACCCCACTGCAGGAGTCACCCGGCTCCCGGTCACTGAATGAACCTGGTCTTGAGTCCCTTGGCAAGCGAGCTCCGGTGAGAAGTGCTTGAGCCACGTCTCACCCTGGGGAGGGCGTGGGTGTGAGTGCCACGCTGCCCTGTGCCTGGCCTGGCTGTCGCGGTGTTGCCACTCTTCCCCACGCTGGGCATTTGGGAGCTCTGTGGGCCTGGACCCGTCACGCGGAGCTGAAGGAGGCAGGATGGGGCAGGACGGGCGTGGGGGCTGCTCCTGGGGCACAGGCTCACTCTCAGGGGCAGTTCCTCTGCAGGCTGAGCACCGACTGCAGCCGGGGATGGCTCCGCTGTCACCTGTGCTGAGGCCCAGCTAGGAGCCGGGCCATGGGGGCTGCGCCAGGGCCAGCACCTCCCCGCTGCCCTCCGTAGCCTACAGCAGCCCTGGCTGCCTCGGTGGGCCACCATGGAGCAGCCCGCTCGTGTGCCCGGGCCCCGCCGGCTGCTGGGCTGCTTCAGGCGGAAGCCACGGGCCCTCGGAGGGGAGACACCGCCGGAGCCGGAGCCGGAGCCGGAGCAGCCCGAGGAGACACGCGTGGTGCTGGCCCTGGGCGAGGGCCCGGCGCTGGAGGAGTGTCCCCTGTGCCTGCTGCCGCAGCCCCCCGAGGCCTTCCCCAGCCTGGCCTCCTGCTCGCACCGCTCCTGCCGGGCCTGCCTGCAGCAGTACCTGTGCCTGGCCGTGCGCGAGAGCCGCGTGCCCGTGTCCTGCCCGCACTGCCCCGCCGCGCTCCAGCCCCACGACGTGCACCGCCTCCTCCCCGAGCCAGCCCTGCGGGACAAGTATGAGGAGTTCCTGCTGCGGCGGCTGCTGGTGGCTGACCCCGGCACCCGCTGGTGCCCCGCGCCTGACTGCAGGTACCGCGGGTCCCGCACAGACGGGAATGCGGGGTGGGCGTGGGCTCCCCTCCCGCAGCAGCAGGGCGTGCCTGTGTCCCGTGAGCCCTTCCCAGGCTGGGTTCCCATCGCTTTGTCCTGCCTTGGGCTGGCTGTGCCCAGGGAAGTGTGCAGTCCTGGTCTGGCTGCAGAGCCTGTGCAGCTCTGCCAGGGCTGGTGTCCTTGTGCTAGACACTCTGTGAGCCCCAGGGCTGTGGCTGCTGGACAGGGTGGGCTGCTGAGGGTGGATCCCAGCTCTCCTGAGCCGGGGCTGTGGCTCCAGCTCGGTGTGGGGCTGGGACTGCCACAGCAGTGTGGGGAGGGGCGCCCTGCTGCAGCCCAGCTCCAGCTGCCTTCTCCCCACAGCTACGCTGTCTTTGCCCATGGCTGTGCCGAGTGTCCCCGCCTCACCTGTGGGCGTGAGGGCTGTGGCACCGAGTTCTGCTACCACTGCCGGCAGCCCTGGCACCCTGACGGCCCCTGTGCACCGGTGCCACCGACCCCCAGCCTGGCCACCCCCACAGCACAGCCGGAGGAGTTGGCCCACGGTGAGGCCCTGGCCCAGGGTGGGAGCAGCAGGGCTGGGGTTTGGCACAGTCCTGTGCCTCTGTGCCTCCTGCCTGTGGGGCTGCTGGAGGCAGGATCCAGAGTTCCCTCTGCTGCAATCTCACAGCCCCTGTGCCAGTTGGGCCGGGGTGTCTAGAGCGACCTCAGCTCCCCCCATGATTCCTGTGGGATGGGGAAGGCTGGGATGGATGCACACTGGGACAGGGACAGGCCTGGGACAGGCTGGGATGGATGCACACTGTTCTGTCCTGCTCCCCCATCCCATCTTGTCTGCCCCCAGCTGAGGCCGAGGACATCAAGGTCTGTCCTCGCTGCAGCGCCTTCATCATGAAGATCAACGATGGGAGCTGCAACCGCATGAACTGCACGGTCTGTGGCTGCCTCTTCTGTTGGCTCTGCCTGCAGGAGATCTCTGACGTGCACTTCCTGAGGTCAGTGCAGGGCCTTAGGGGCTGGGGGCTCTGACAGGAGCTGGGGGGGTCTGTGGGACTGCACTGGCCGAGGCTGGGGGCTCTGACAGGGTGGGGAGCTGGGATGGGGGCAGCCAGGCCCTGCCCCAGGTTTGGGGTTAGCCAGGGGGAGCAGGGTGGTCTGTGCTGCTGGGGCTGGCTGCTGGCACCCCGCAGGAGGCAGCTGGAGCTCAGGGCTGGGGGAGCCTGGCTGCCTGCTCTCAGGTGGGCTCATGGATGTCCCCTGACATGAGGCCAGGCTGTGCTGGTCTCTGCCTGCCACTCACAGAGTCCTTGGCTCAGCCCCACTGTGTCCCCACAGCCCCTCTGGCTGCACCTTCTGGGGGAAGAGGCCGTGGTCACGGACCCGGAGGATCCTGTGGCAGCTGGGCATGGTGCTGGGAGCACCCATGGTCATCTCCCTTGCTGCGGGTGTTGCTGTCCCTGTCATCACCATTGGGATCCCCATCTACATGGGTAGGAAGGTACTGCCAGGTGGTCCTGGAGTCCCTGTGGTCCTGCTCCCTGCTGAGCCTGGTAGCCCATGGCTCTTGGCCTGGAGAGACCTGCAGTGCTCCCTGCTGCCCTGAGCACATCCCTGTGCCACCCCTGACAGCCCACAGTCCTGCCTTGCCAGGACCATCTCCTGCCCCCAGCAGCCCCTGCCAGTGCAGGTGCTCAGGGTGGGCGAAAGGAGGAAGGGTTCTAGGGGGGCTTTCCAGGAACACCTGTGCTGTGGTGGAACTGCTGTTGTAGCTGTCCCTGAGGAGAGGGAGGGGTGTCTGGGTGGCTGTGGCTGGAGCTCTGCCAGGCTGGGAAGAGGCTGAGTCCCTGGGGCTGTGCTGAGGTCTTTGTAGAGCCCCTCACCTTTCTGTCTTGTCCTTGAGGTGCTGGGCCAGAGCCGGCGAAGCAGCCTCTCCGGGTGCCAGCAGTGCCTCTCTGTCACCAGCAGTGTCCTCCTGTCTCTCTTTGTGTCCCCTATCATAACAGCTCTCACTGTGGGTGAGTGCCGAGGGCACTGCCCACCTTGGGGTGGGACTGTGGCTCATGTCTGGGTCCGGAGGCAGCAGGCTGGGGCTGGGCAGTGACAGCTTGTCCACCCACAGGTGTTGGCGTGCCCCTGGTGCTCACCTACGTGTACGGGACCGTGGTGCTGTCGCTGTGCCGCAGCCGCTGGCGCTGCAGGGGCGGCCGCGCGCCCGGGGACCTCGGCGTGGTGGAGCTGGACAACCTGGCCAAGCGTGGGTCCCGCACAGCTGGCAGGCCTGGCCTGTGCCCTCCCTGCTCCAGCAAGGGGCAGGTCGTGGGAATGGCGTGCTGTCTCTCTCTCCGCAGTGAATGAGCTGTGGTCAGTGCTGCCCAGCCCCAGAGCGGGCGAGGACGGAGCTCCAGACCCTGCTGCCTCCCTCCCCAGCAGCAGCCGCAGTCCACGCCCGGGGCCGCTGTGGCCAGAACGGGACAGCCAGTCAGCCAGCACAGTGGCCCTTGCGGGGAGCATGCTGAGCGAGGGCCAGGACACCTCTGACAGGTAGGCATGGTGCCCAGGGGGCAGGGGGTCGCACATCCCTTCCAAACAGTCCCCTGCTGTGCTGAGCAGGGACAGGGGTGTTCCCCGTTGGGCTGCTGCCCTCAGGCCGGTGTCTGTCTGCAGGGAAGGTGTTACCATCGAGGTGGAGGTGTCGGTGGAAGCAGTGCCACGTTCTGCCCGGCAGCAGAGCCTCAGCAGTGCCCTGTCTGGGCAGAGCCTCTCTGGGGACTCCCTGGGAGCCACCAGTGACAGGGGCAGCTCCGTGGGTGTCCCTGTGGAGTGATGGGGGCCTGAGGGGGAGAGTCATGACCCACACACAGGCCCTGTGCCCTCCTGTGGCAAAGCCAGTCCCCCTCTGCCAGCACACCCAGCCCTGGGAGCTGGGTCCTGGGTGGGTGCCAGCTGCACCCAGCACTGCTGCACCCTGCACTAGCCCTGCCCGCCCGTTTCCCAGAGGCACCACTAGGAAATAAAGCTGCTTTCTGAGGGTCCCTCTGTCTCCTGTGGCAAAACTCCCCTGAGAGCACAGCCGCCTGGCAACCCAGTGGTGTGCACAACAGGCATCACATCTGCACCTGTGTGAGGAAGAGGCCACCCAGACATGCAGGGGTTACCTGGAGTGGCCTCTGTCCTGTCTGTACCAGCTGACCTGCCCCAAGAGCAGGCTGCAGGGTTAGGGGAGGGCAGCAGCCCCCCAGCTCCCATCTCTGGTGCTGATCCCCACAGGGATCCATCCTGCAGCAAGGCCAGTGTGGAGGGACCACCACGTGCTGTAGGTGGGGACCTATTGCCAGATGGGTTGCATAGTCTCAGGCCCTGGGATCCTTGCCACTCTCATGCTGCTGCAGCATCCTGGGGAGAAAAAGCTGCTTCTGAATGTTTTGCTACTCCTGAATGTTATGCTGCTCAGAGTTGGGCAGTCACAGAGTGAGTAAAGGATTTGGGTTGGAAGGGAACTTAAAGCTCATTGCTGTCCCTTGCCATGGGCAGGGACACCTTCCACTAGACCAGGTTGTTCCAGGCTTTGTCCAATTTGGCCTTGAACACTTCCAGGGATGGGGCAGCCACAGCTTCCCTGGGTAACCTGTGCCAGGGCCTCACTAGGGAAGGATTTCTTCCCAATACTCCATTTAACCCTGCCCTCTGGCAGTGGGAAGCCATTTCCCCTTGCCTGTCCCTCCATCTTTCTTGGAGCCCCTTTAGGCACTGTGACTCTAAGGTCTCCCTGGATCCTTCTCCAGACTGAAATCCCCTGCTGTCCCAGCCTGTCTCCATAGGAGATGAGGTTTGTGAATTGGCTCACCTGCACAGCTTCCTTCAGCTGCTCTGGGATTCCCACATGATGGGGCTGTGCCTTTGGCAGTGCCTTGCACTACAGATCTTCCCTTTTAGAAGGTGAACCCCACCCTTCTGGTCATGGGCTGTTGTCTTGGCTTCTGCAGTTCAGTCTGTCCCTCACCAGCACAGGTTCTGCCTCTCCTGGCACCTTTGACCCCTTCCCTGGCAGCCTCAAGCTTCAGCTCCCCAGCCTGTCTGGTGGCTCTGCAGTGAGTTGTCCAGTCCTGAACTGCTCTGGTGTCTGGAGTGTCCAGGCTGGGCTCCTGCAGCCCTGTGTGTCTGGTGCTTCAGAGCCTCACACAACCCAGTGCTGCAGTTGGATGTGCTGCTCAGGCTGTTTCCATGTTCCCCTGGAATGGGGCTGCCTGAGGAGACCTGTCAAGACTTTTTTCCTTTGCAAAAGTGGGTTTGTTCTCAGCACAACATCCACTTGCCAGGTGGGTTTATCTCAGGATCACTCTGGGAAGGGGCTGCTCAGTACCTCACGCTTCCTCCCGAATATCAACATGCTGGTCAAGGCTACTCCAGGTTTTGAATAAACAGAATGAATTAGTCACAGCAACAAGCAGTCCTAAAGTATTAGTTATTTCTGCAGTCCCTAAGAGCCCAAGCTGAGGCAGCTTTGCTTGGTGACATTAAAACCAGTTTGCCTCAATTACCATGTGCTGTCATCCTGTTCCTGCTGCCAAGCATCCATCTCCAGAGGGTTTGGTTTTAAACTTTGTTCCTGCTCATTAAGGTTTGTGATGCAGTCTCCAGTCTCTGTGGAGTCCCCAAAATGGCTCTGATTCATGGTGGCCTCACATTAGTAACCTGTAGACCATTTTCTGTGTGCTCTGTTGATGTTTTATCATGCTGATTTTTACTCAAAATGCTCTGTGGTGGGTCCTGTGCCACAGCAAAGGCCCTCAGAGTTGCAGGTGTTTGCCTTGCCTTGCTGCAGCTGCACAGGGAGTAGATGCAGGGGTGCTGTGGCTTCCTGGCAGGCTCAGTGCTGGCAGCTCACCAGGAACAGGAGCACAGGGTCCCAGGGCTGTGCAGGGACGTGCCCTGGTCACCTCCAGTGCTGGCTCTGGCCTGGCTGTCACAGGGGCCCCAGGATGGTCAGACAGGAGTGCCTGAGGTCCAGGGGACCCCCTGGCAGCAATGGGGTCTGCTGCCCACAGAGCTTCTGGCTTTCTGGAATCCTGGGGCAGGTGGGACAGCTCCAGGCTGTGGGGGAAGGAGGGACTAGGAGAAAGAACAAGCATGGGAAATGCACATAAAAGGCACCAATTGTGTGTGAAAAGAAATAATGGATCACCACAGAGTGCTCTTCTCTTCCAGTGGGCTCTTTCTGCTACACAGGGAGAGCCCACCTGTACAGCCCACACCCTTCCATCAGTGTTTTACAGCCCAGGGCTGCGCTCCTGCCGGAGCAGGTATTGACAGCCCTTGTCCGGGCTGTGCATCGGGGAGGAGCTGCCTCTTGACTCACCTTGACAGAAGGTGCAGCTCTATGGGTGCTATGGGCAGGTGAGCTCTGAGGCGTGCCTGGTACCCCTATCCCTTGAGCAGACACAGACTTTCTCCAGAGGCTCATGTCTACTCTGAGACATCTCAGAAGGGCCATCCTGGGGAAACTGGGAGCCACAGGCAAGAACCCTGCAGTGATCCAAGACCACAGGGACAAATGTTCTCCTCCCCATCCCACCTTCCTCACTTCCCCCTCCAGGAAAGAACCAAGGACCAAAACCACACCTGTATTTTCTGGTCTTTTAGTTTGAAAAAAGTATTGATTGAAAGTGTACAACTGAACACGGCGTGGCTGCAGCACCACCGCCAGATTGTTTCACAAAAAAAACCAGAAAGGGCCTTAAATAATCGGGTGCAGATTAAAAAAACCTCAACAGTGAAAAAGTTCTTCCCTCCAAACAGAAATTCACAGGCACAGAAATGGCAACAACCACATGGAGACAATGGGGGGACATCCTCCTCCTCCTCCTCAGCAGACTGCGGTGCAGCGCTCCCGGGCGCGGCTCATCCCGGCTCCCTCTTTGGAATGGTTACGGATGAACAGTGCGACATGCCCTTGCTAACCAGACCCGCCCCACCCCCCGACCAGGACACGGACAAACAAGGCCTCTGCTAAGGCTAAAAAAAGGACAAGACCTGCAGTCTTGAGTTCAGCATGGGTAAGAAACGAGAGTCTGGTGAGCACAGCCCAGTCCCCAGGTGGGCCCTGCTACTCCAGTTTGGCCTTCTTGGTGCTGTCCCCACCGTTCTCCTCTGCTGGTGCCGCTGCCTCCCCCATTTTCCGCTTCCCACTCTCAGCAGGTGAGTGTGTGTTACGGGGTTTGAAGCTGATAATGATGCAGGTCATGTTATCGCAGCCGGTGCCGTCCCCTGAGGTGTCTGGAGCCAAGCACTGATCCAGCAGCTGGGGAGAGACGGGGCAAGTCAGCAGAGAGAACAGACACACACTGGGACGCCACCCTGAGGCACTGGGCCCGTTCCAGCACCTGACAGTGGTCAGGGGCTGCCAGGCCAGACCCGTGCAGGAGGAGTCCAATGCTATTCCCACTGGACAAGGGACAGAGATGGCCTCGGCAGCCCCAGGTTTCTGAATGTGACAGAAACTCATTTGGCTGGACAGCACCCCTGGGGTCAGACACTGGCTGGAGTGCCCAGGGAACCCATCTGAGGGAGTGGGAGGGCAGAGCCAGGCACTGAGCCAGGATGCAGGAATGGCACGTTGCTGGAGGGACAGCAGAGCTCTCCCTCTTACCTCTTCTACGATGGAGGAGAGTGGCCGCAGCACTCCATTCTCATCCTTTTGGGTGATCTTCGACTGGATGAAATCCACCACTTCCTGGCTGCTCATCACGTTCCTGCAGAGCAGAGAGGTCAGGAAGGCAGGCAAAGGCAGCACACATGCCATAGTGTCCAACAGGCCTTCCTCAGGCTGAGCTCTGGAGAAAGGCTGGAGCAGGGATGCCCCAGAGGCACAACAGCTCCCTCACCACTCACCAGATTCCATCACAGGCAATGACCATGAAGTCGTGGTCATCGTTTATTGTCAGCACTTTGATGTCAGGCAAGGCAGAGATCATCTGCTCTTCTGGAGGGAGGTTCTTGTTCCGCTTGTAGAAGTGATCCCCTGTGGTGGGGAGGAAGATGTCTGGGCGCAGGCAGTGCTGTGCCCTGCCACAGGACATTCCCCGTGGGATCAGTGAGTGCTCCCACAACCTGGGATCAGGCTGTGGGTCACAAAGCAGAGGAACCATTGCAGGTTCCAGGTGTAAGCTCTGGCAAGCCCAGGGAAGAGGGGTCTTGGCCAGCTCAGCCCGTCTTTACTCCAAACCAAGTGCCCCTTCCCCACCTCCTGGGGCCAACAGCACACCTCTGAAGAGGCTGGGGCTGCGCTATCCCTGGAAGTGTGTAAGGCCAGGCTGGATGGGGCCTGGAACAACCTGGTCCAATGAAGGTGTCCCTGCCATGGCTGTGGCTGGAATTGGTTGAGCTTTAAGGTCCCTCTTCCCACCCAAACCACTCCAGGGTTCATTTTATGATTCAAAGTTCCCTTGAGAAAACTGGCCCTCAGCACTGACTAGCAGCTTATCAGGAATCATCCTATGAAGGGACTGCCAGGGCCACCACAAAATAGCAGGTGGGAATGCCAGTGTCTCCCTAGACAAACTTGTTATGAGGTGTGTTTTATATCTTTACACTAAGATAATGATTTCAGTGGTTTGGGTCCTTCTGTACACACTCAAATAAATGGGTTCAAACTAACATGAAGCCAGGTCCCCAGGAAGCAACACACTCAATAACCCAGTAAGCAGGAAAAGTCCTGTTTCAGAGGCATCAGTCTGGTTTTGGGACAGTTTACATGAGGTGGTTTCTGACAACGCAGCTGCTGGCACAACAGTCTGGGATGTGTCAGATGCTGCTTTCCACTGATGTCCAACTGTTTCTCAGCTGTTTTCCCCAATTAGACTGAAATCTCCCATCAAACATGGAAGAGGTTTCACTCATCTCATTAAAAACTGTTCCACAACCTCAGTGGCTGGCAGTGCTGTCAGCGTGGCTCTCCTGAGGCCAGGCCTGCCAGCGTCCCCCCTCCCTGCTTACCGATGGCCCTGGAGAGGTTGAGGCCGCCGTTCACCCTTCCATCCATGGTGACCTTGCCACCAGCATTCTTTATCCTGGCCAGCTCCACCTCATCCTCTGGCTTGTGGTCGTAGGACATGTCGACGGCCTTGCCGCCCTCCGACACGACGCAGCGCGAGTCCCCGGCGTTGGCCACGATCAGCTGCTTGCCCCGGATGAGCGCCACCACAGCCGTGGTCCCGCTGTCTGAGCCAGGCTGCAGGAGACAATTCTGGTGAGATTTCTCTGTCTGTCTCCCTGTCAGGTCATTAAGGGAACCAGCACCAGCTGCACAGCCCCAGCAGTGTCCCAGATCCCAGGGTGCTGCATCGCACTCCGTGAGCACACATGGAACAATGGAGAAGGCGTGAGGGAAATGGCAAACACCAGGAGTGTGTTCACTGAGGGGCAGGGTTAGGCAACACCTCCGTCCCAGTCTCACGCAGTGTGGTGGGGGTCAGGGTTCTGCAGCATTCCACAGGGTCTGTACCCTCTGTTCCCTGTTGGAACGTGCTAATTCCAACCCCAGCCCAGCCTGAACACATCCCCACTTCAAGACAGGACATTTCCCCAAAGGCAGAAATTGGCACTTTGGAAGCCATTTCCCTTTTCCTGGTCCGTTGGAACGTGCTAATTCCAACCCCAGCCCAGCCTGAACACATCCTCACTTCAAGACAGGACATTTCCCCAAAGGGAGAAATTGGCACTTTGGAAGCCATGTCCCCTTTTCCTGACCCCCTGGGTCCCTGGCCTGCCTGACTGCACCATCATGGGCTGAAGAGCCACAGCCCTGCCTGGTGAGGAGTCATGCTATTCCCTGGAGCAGTGGTGCCAGCAGAGCCCTCCTGCTCTTGCCCACGCTCTCCTCCACAGCGCTTTCCAAGCACCTCACACCCAGCAGCAGGATCAGCCTCTTTGGTCTCAACCTGCCATCCAGATCCAGGCCCATCCCTCAGCTTTTGCACAAACCCAGGCTGTCAGCAGCTCCCTCAGCCTCAGGAGAGTGCACAGGATGTTCCGTCCCCACCTGGGAACAACCCCTGGCTGAGTCTCCCAAGTGCCCCTGGCTCCACACTAAGCTGCAGAACACAAAACCAGGGTGTGCACCTCCTCTTTCCCCTCCATGCCCGGTAACAACATTTCCTCCTCTTCATCCTCATCCTCCTCTGCTTCTTCAGTGTCATCTTCATCATCTTCATTCTCTGCCTCTTCACTGCTGTAACCGTCCTCGTCCTCGCTACATTCCTACAAGAAAGGAGAGATACCACAGGAGTCACACAGGACCCTTGGTGCTGTCCCCCCGCTGGTCCTCCATCCTGGGGACCAATGGTCAGTTCCCCCAGAGGTGTGAGGTGACCTGGCACATGTCCCCACACTTGATGGCTACATCCAGAGCAGCTGGTATCACTACAGCAGTGGATGAAGGGATGGTGCATGCAGCAGGACCAGGGGCTATCAGCTATGGCTGCTGCAGGATGAGGGTGTGTCCTTCAGGGTTAGCTCAATAAACACAAACATTCCCATGGGATGGCCTCAAAGGATCAGCCTGAAACACCTGCTCCTAGGAACACACCTAGGATGAGCCAGAGGCTCGTCTCAGGTACCACCATAAGCAATGCATTCTGCCCAGCCAGAAGGCCACTCTGTTCCAGTGCTGTTTCCTACCTCACTGTCTTCCTCCTCTTCCTCAACCTCATCTGACTCATCCTCACTGTCCTCAAAAAATTTGGATTTGGTTGTGCGCTGGGGCTTTCCCGTGGAGGAGCAGGAGGGCCCGGCCTCCCCAGTAGAAGAGGTGACGGCCTCGTCACCTTTGCCTAGTTCAGGCTTCTGCAGAGCAGGGCTGTTGCCTCCAGCGCTGGCTTTGTCTGAGGTGGAGGAAATACCCGTGATTTCTTCGTCTGGCTTCCCGTTCTTCCTCTCCTTGTGGTCGGGAAGCTCCCCTGGGTCAGCCTCTCCATTCATATTTGACTCCCCATCATGCTGCTTGCCTGTCCCCTCCACAGCGTTATCCCCAGCTGCAGCTACAGACTTGGCTTTGAGGTTCTTGGTGCAGTTTTGTCCATAACGTGTGAGAAGCTCCTCGATGGTCATTGTGGCTTCTTCGTGCAGAAGAGCAGCTTCCTCATTATCCACTGCAAATGGAAGAGGGAGGGGACAAGGACAGAGAGCGTGAGAGAGCAGAACACCCAGCACACTGTGTCCTGTGCTGAGCTGCCCCAGCTGAGGCTGCTGCTGGCAGTCCCAGCAGTGCTCCCCAGGCTGACTCTGAGCCAGGCCTGTGCCCTCACACAGCTCCAGATGCTACAGGTGAGCAGGATGGGGACAGCAAGGCCACAGTTCTGACCACAGCACAGCCTGCCAGTGCCCCCAGTGCCCCAGAGCCAGGCTTCCTGGCCAACTGACAGCACCACAGAGCGTTTACATCAGGCATGGGGGCTGGTGGTAGCACAGTGTGCACATCAGGTGTGTGGCTCACTTGCCCAAGCACAAGCTCCTTGGGAGCTGCAGGGAAGCAGAGCCACCACTTCCATGTGAAGGTTTGGTCATTAATGCTGCAGCTAGGAGCAAGAGAACAGCTGAAACACCCCAGGGATCCCCACCAGCTTTCATTTGGACAGGTACAACAGGTGACAGCACAGCTTTGGCCATCTCCCAGGTGGGACCAGACAAAGTGGGATGACTTTCCCCAGTGACCATGGGCCAAACACCACTGCTTCCTTACTGACATCCCCCTTGCATATAGTTTGCTTTGCTATTTAACCCCAAAAGGAAAACAAATACAGATAGCCCAAATGCTCCTGAAAATACAGAACAAAAAGAAAGAAAACTCAACCACCCACCCACCCACTTCATCCCTGGAGTGAAAAAAAACCCCAACAAATTCAGCATTTCCAGATTACATATTGTTCAAGGTGACAGGATCACACTGCATCTGTCTCAAGGCTGGTCACAAGGTACTCAGTGGGAGCAGCACAGGATTCCACCCCAGGAAACACCTCCTGGGCTGGCAGCCACTTGCTGGAGGAACACTTGCTTCTTTGTGGGAAACTGCTGAAAAGACCAGGATCTGCTTCAATCCTATCTGCACTTGGTGGCTGCCACCAGCCAGGGGGAGCTGAGCACACCACATCATTTCCCTCCCACAACTGAGTGCAGCTCAGAATTCCTGACATATCCTGGAACCCTGCAACCCTTGGAGGAAGCTCTACAGAAAATGGTGACAGGCTGTTTTGTTATCCATAGCATTAAGCTTGCAAATGGATAAAGATTCCCCCCCTAGCACCAGCCCAAAGCCATGGATAATGCTAAGGGGCAGTAGCTCAAGTCAGCCAGAATTTAACTGAGAAACGGGGACAGAAAACCTTGTGCCCAAGGAAACTTGACCCTGCTGCTCTACATCCCTGTCCCGGAGCTGCAGCCTTGTCTGTTCAGTGGCTTCTGACTTACCATCATCTTCATCAGCAACTTTCTCCTTCTCATCTTCATCGTCCTGTGGCCGCCCAGCCATTTGAGAGAGCTCCTTAATCACCTCCTCTGTGGTGAGCTTGGCATCAATGGCCAAGAATGCATCTTCCAGGGCCTGTGTGTGAACACAGACATGAGTGGGCAGCTGCCCCTGCCCTACAGGATCCTGCCTGCCCTGCTGTGCAATCCAGTCTCTTCCAGCTTGCACACTGTAACTAATCACAGCACGGCTGTACCTGGCAGGCACCTACAGGCTTCTCCTGATCCAACACCCTGCTTCAGCAGGGACACCCAGGACTATGCCCAGACAGGTTCTGGACACCTCCAAGAATGGAGACTCCATCACCTCCCTGGACAACCCACACAAGGGCTTTCCTCTGTGCTGGCACTCAGTCCAGGGCAGAGCTGGCTCCTCACCTTTTGCAATTTGCCTTCCTTGTAGGCCTTCTGGTCTTTGATGATCTCAGGGAGGTACTTGGCACAGTACAGGGCAACTTCTTCTCCTGAAAAAAGAGCAGAAACTATTTAAAGAGGCTGCTCCTTCCAGACAGAGCCTGCTCTTGAGCAGCTGAATTCCTGAGGTAAATCCTGGGACACAAGCCAGAGCTGCTCCAGACACAGAAGCTGAGTGTGGGGATCCTGCTTACACCTTCCCAGTAGGATGTGCAGATGGCCCTGGCAAACCTCACAGCACCAAACCACCAGGTTTGGCCACAGCTGTGAACTTCCTGACAGGGAGCTTAGGCTGACTCTTTAGGTCTAGCCTACCTGGAAATCTTTAATTTCACGTGTCAGTGAAAGCAGAGGGAAAGGGAAGCTTTTGCTCACTGTAGGTTCTATTGGAGCATTACCAATGTGCAGTGAGCACATAAGAAGTGTTCTGTCTCTCTGGAACACACTTGGTGTGTGTTCCAGACCAAGGGCAATGAGATCCCAGAGACTGAGATGAACCTCTCAGGAGATAGGGCAGTCACTTGGTACAGGAAAGAGCACAGCAAGATAAACAGCAGCCAGAACACTGTGCTGAGAGCACAGGGGATAATCAGTACTGAGAGACAGCTCAAGTCAAGTGCTCATCCTAGAACAGCTGAGAGATTTTTAGAAGCCAGAAACTCCCCCAGCTTGGTAAGTAATGGTGTCAGGTGTCATGGAAAAGGGCATGGGGGCATTTGTTTAGATCCCTAAGGTGCTATTAAGAGAGAAGGAAGAGTAAACATTGAGGGATGATGAATTTCTGTAGTTTATCTTGATCAGGGCAAGAAAGAGTAGTATGAGTTGTAAGAGATCACTACTCATTGAGGTTTTTACATGAGCAAAGAACAGTGTGGGACACAGGAGCGTGGACGTGGCTCACACCTCACAAAGAATAAAAATTAGAGCAAGAAACTGAGAAATAAATGAAATGACTGCATACAAAGAGGGAGAGGAGCGGGGCAAAGCTGCAGGCAGGTGGAGGGTCTCACTGCAGGGTCCAGGAACATCCTGAGACTGTGCAGGACCAATCATTCCCTGTCACAGTACAAAGAAATAGCAGTGTGGGTGGCAGGGCAAGCCAGAGCCTACCTGCACCTGGGGCTTTCCTGCAGGTACAGCCAGAGCCACGTGGGCTCCTTTCCTTTGGCCTACAGGAGGGTTTTCCACAGGATGGACCAGCCACACAACTCCTGATCTTCCTGCTGCACATCCCAACTTCCCTGCCCTCCTCTGAGCCCAACAGAGACTGTGCAGGCAGCTGGGCATCAGGAAGAGCTGTGCAGGCAGGAGCAAAGCTCTGTGAAGGAATGGGGAGCAAGGGAAGTGAGAAGAAAGCAGCAGCCAGCCATCAGTTCAGCAAAGGGAACATAGTGGGAAGCAGAGAAGTGGGGAGATCGGGAGAAAGACAAACACTGACTTTTCCAATGTACCTGCAGAGAAGGGATCAAGTGGCCATTGAGAGAACAGAAACAACCAAATGGCTGCTGCTACACAGTGCTGCAAAGCATTCCATGATACAGGGAACAAAGGGACTGGCTCTGACCTGGGAACACTGGAGAGGACCTCTGACAAGGGCCTAGAGTGACAGGACAAGGGGGAACGGCTCCACATTGACAGAGGGCAGTGTTAGAAGGGATATTAGGAGGAAAGTCTTGCCTGTGAGGGTTGTGACGCCTTGGCCATTCTGTTTTCTCCAAAAACACCTCTTGGAGGGAGGTGAAAAACTGTTAGTTGTCTCCATGAGATGGAAGCTGAAGGACAGTGATGTCCTCAGTGCAGACCCCAAGTGCCAGCTGAGGCTCAAGGTCAGCGTTTGAATAACAGATCTCTTGGTCAAACACTACTAATCTCTGCAGGGCCAGCAAACAGCAGGAACCAACACCAGCCTCTAACAGGTACAGCACAGCAAAGAGTGTGCTGTGGGTCAGGTAGACTGATCTTGGGAAGCAGCACTGTGACCTGCAGCTGCTAACAGACACAAATCCCTCTCACTTGCTCTGTCCATTACTGCCCCAACCCTTCCAGCCCCATGGGGGGGGCCAAGAAAGGACTGCTGTGGTTTAACCCCAGGGGGCAACTAAGCACCACCCAGCCAGGTGCCCATCTCTCGAGGAGCTGGGCAATGGATTGCAAGAGTAAAAGGCAGGAAGCCCTTGAGCTGAGAGAAGCTTAAAACAATCATAATTTTTTAAAAACAGTGAAAAGTCAAATAGCAGAGAGAGAGGAATAAACCTCTCAGACGAGCAATGCAAGATACATGTCAGTGAAGACATGTTGTTAAAATAAAGGCACAGGTACACAGCAATAGGGACTGAGCAAACACTCCCTGCCCTCCACTCAAGGGGCAGAGTGCCCAAATATCCTCCTCCAGAATCTGGGGGCAGGGAGGCCAGAGCACATAAAAAAAGAAGATGGGGAAGGTAAAAACTGGCCAAATTGCTTCAAACTTAATAACTACTGCATCAATAAAATCACACAATAGTAGGGGATGGGCAAAAGCTGTTCTTCTAATTCAGATTCAACTATATCCATGTCCTTCCTGATATGGTTTGTCCAGGGAGAGCTGTAGAGATTCAGTAACTAGAAAACTAAAATATGAGTTAGAAACTCATGCCAGTGCTTTGGCATCCCATGCCTTTCCCTAATGTCTATCTCAGATCTTCCCTCTTGTATTTAAGAACCCCAAACACAATACTTAATGTCCCATACTAACAGGGATGTTATGAGTCTCCAAAGCCTCTCTAAAACCCAGCACGTGGTGTAAGGCCTTGGCAGCTGAGAAACAAACACCCTGAGCTCAGAGGAGAACAGATGGTTTGATACTCTTCATTCTTGACCCATTCTTGGTAGATGCTCCTTATCTTTATTTTTGCCTGACACACACAGAGTTTCTGAGGTGAGTAGCTCCTGATCCCTCCATCCCAGTTGCTTGTCATTCCCTGCCTCTCAGCACCAACTCATCATCCCCACATTCTCAGAGACACCCTTCAGGATATCAGTGACTGCTCCACATGGGTCTCTGCACACTCTAAGGTGAAGTTCAGGAAAAAAAAAGTAATTTCAGGATATGAAATACATTCTTCAGAGTGAGATGACCTCTTTGGAAGAGCTACATCTGCAGCAGTGACAGTCACAAACTGGACACTGTTACAGAGCCAGTGAACAGGAGGAAACAGGCAGCTCAGTTCACCTACTGCACACAGATTTTCAAAGACCTTTCAAATAAACCATCAAATGCTTTCCATACTAAGCTGCCACAAGAAAAGCAGGGAGGTTAGATAGGAGCAGTTTTCAGAATGGGGGATGGCCATGGGGAGAGCTCCTTGAAAAGCTGGGTTGTTCAACATCTACATAAATTAGCAGGAAAAGAGGTCAGTAAACCATGATGGATCATTCTGGATGATCAAAATTAAAATAAGTTGCAAAGATCTTGACAGGATCTTTAACAGCAGGATCTTGAGCTCTTACATTCTATTGGCAGAGCAAATTCTATAATATTATTAGCAATAATATTTAATAGCAATATTCAGTCATACAAGCAGAGAGAAGCTTTGGACTCCTCTTGACTGCAATAAAAAAGACACGGAATTCAAAACTAAAAGTGAAAAGTACTACCAGAGTGATTATTCACTCATTCCTTGTGTCATGGATACTGCAGTGAAATTATCAGGCAGCAGATTTAACCATATCTTTTTCAAATAATGATTCTATGCAAAATGCACAGTGTAAACAATCACCAAACATAGAAACTTTCTTAAAATGCAATTAGACAAATTTGTGAAGAGTTAGCTCATCCAGAAGACTCCACTATGTCTCCAGGATGGAATGGCTGCAACCTCCAGTTTAAGGAACTGGGAACAGGGAATGGATCTGCCTGTTTTGATTTTCACTCTCTCCTTAGGCAACCACTAGAACACAGCGTCTAGAGTCAATCTCAGGTGATTTTTCTTACCACTTTTTCCTCTGTGACTCTCCTGTCCAGCTTATCCACCATAAAAACAGCCATTCTCAAAAGGTATAAAAGATGGAATACAAATCTGATTTCAATTTCAGATCAAACCCTGACGTTCTTCCTACGACCCCTAAGAGTTCAGAACCTCTGCTGATGGCATCTATGAAAGAAAATGCTTCCATCAAGGAGCAGAATTCCTAGGAACAGATGGGTGCCCCAGACAGCCCCGAGGGGTCACACTGAGGGACAGGACAGAGCAGAGTGGACGCAGTTACCTCCGTGTCCATCGTAGACAGAGAACATGGCTGTTTCACTGTCCAGCTCGGGAATGCAGTTGTGGGCATCCTGAAAGAGAGAGCAAAGGCCTGAAATGACAGGGATTGCATTAGACTCATAGAAAATCACAGGAACACAAATTTGTTTGGGTTGGAAAAGCCCTCTGAGACCACTGAGCCCAACCATTGCCCCAGCACTGCCAACCCAAAGTGCTGTCCCATGCCCCCAAAGTGCCACATCCACAATGCTTTTAAACCCCTCTAGGGACGGGACTCCACCGCTGCCCTGGCCAGCCTCTGCCAGGGCTGGACAAACCTTTCCATGAAGAAATTGCTCACAACAGTCAACCTGAACCTGCCCTGGCACAGCTTGAGACTGCTTCCTCTTCTCCTGTCCACTGTTTCCTGGGAGACAAGCGTGACCCCCACTGGCTGCACCCTCCCGTCAAGGAGGTGCAGAGAGTGACAAGGTCCCCCTGATCCTCCTTTTCTCCAGGCTGAACCCTCCCCAGCTCCCTCAGCCACTCCTCAGACTCCTGCTCCAACCCCTTCCCCAGCTCCACTGCCATCTCTGGGCAAAGCAGAAGGCTCAACACCACCACGAGCCATGGACAGAGCACAGCCCTTCTCTCCATAAGGTCTCTGTGGAGCAGCCAGCTTGGAGGAAGGCACCCCTGTGACTTTTACAGCCTGAACTCCTTCCCCCATGGGCAAGCAAACCCACCTTGGCTATTGCAATGCAGAGGCTGGAACAGATGGCCAGGCTGAACCTTTCTCCTAGGCCCTTCCCTGCCCAGCTAACCCCCAGGCACTCCTTCAATCCAGCCCTCAGCACCTGACACATCCCACACTCTGTGGTCAGGAAGAACACGTATCCTGTAATATGTTCAATAATGTGATCTTTTCTGTGGTTCCTCACCTTCAATGTGCTACAATTGCCCCAAAACACTGTGCTTACTCCAAGACAGCAGTCTCAAATACCTGGATGTGTCTATGCTGCCAGCAATATTCCAAAATTTACACATACACACAGAACTAGATCACAGCCCAGCAGCCACTGAGCTCTACTGCTTTTTTAGGTACGACTCCTTAGATAAGGTCTCTTCGCTCTCCAGAGTTCCAGTTTTCTGTAAAAAGAGAACTTTGTTCCTTGTTTAGGAAACAGGAACAGTGAGGTTCTGGGTTTATGTAGCACTCTTTGCAATGGAACTGCTGGCACTGGGATGAAAAAAGCTTCTGAACAGGCAAGTGACCATCTGAGTTCAAAACAAGTAATGACTGAATGGTAATGCAGGAAATTTCCCCAACTCTCACTGGAAAGAGCAAATGAAAACAGAGATAAACCAAGAAGCAGTATTTTAGTGCTCACTTTTCTGAGCATTCACAGAAGCCAGTGAGAGAGTGAACCCCCAACACAGTAAGTGGGATAAGCCCCAGGTGACCAAACAGCAGCGTAATTAAAGAGATGCAAATGCTGCTGTGGAGGAAACCCAGCACTGGCACCAAGACCAGCCCGTGCTGCCCTTGCTGAGCCCCTCGGAGCCTGTCCTGACCTGTCCCCTCACTGAGCCCCACCCGAGGGGCAGCTGGCAGGGCTGGCACAGCAGGGCAGGGCTCAGCTCCCAGCGCCCCGGGCTCACTCTGCCCGCGGGGCACAGCCAGGCCCTGGCACTGCCAGCGCCACCAGCACAGCTCTGAGCCCTCCACGTGCTGAAAGAGCCCACAAAGGTTCCCAAAGTCGCTCCTGCTGCCCTGGGAGCCCTCACTCTGCCCAGCCCCCTGCGTGGCTACTGTAACAGTGGTGAAGAACTGTGTCTGAAACATCAAGCACCCAATTCAGCTGAAATGAGCAAGGAAATTAACAAATTAACCTGAGCGCTCATTTAACAAATCGCCATATTTTGAACCAAACTCTCAGTTTTTGCAGCTTTTGTTCTAGGCCTGGGAAAGGAACAAAGCTGCAAACTGGGCCATTGGTGTCACAATGCGGGGGGCTGAGACAGTCAAAGCAGGAGCAGAGTTGGGGGGCACAGGATGTGCTTGGCTGGGGCATCTCCAACTACATCCCAGAGCACTCTGGACCATGAAACTGACTTCAGCCCTTTTCTGTGTTGCTCCTAGTACCTAATACAATTTGGTTTTGTATCCTTATCCTTGGGGTCCCTCATCTGCCCCAAACATTTCCTTACTCCCAAAATAATCTCTCTGGACTAAGCTACAGTGCTTTCTTCAGAGGCCTGTACACCCACCTCACTTGAAGGCTCCTAAAACCCAAGTACCATGTGACAAAAAGCTCCTTTACACCCAAAATACCTGTGTCTTACAGGTGCACACTCTGACTGGCTTCACCAACACACACAGAACAACAGCATTAAGCACAAACATTTGCTCAGGACTTTCTCCAAGCTTTGTAGAAGAGCAAAAGTGCAACTCAACATGAAGAGAATGAAAAAACAAAACAAGGTAAGAGAGAGCAGAACACAGAGTGCTGGAATGCAAGAAAATTGACTGCTCAGCTGTGTGTAAAACACACATTTCGCTCCTATCAGGCTCAGAAGCAATCTGCAGCAGGTTCAACTCCTGCCATCTGCGTGTTTCTTGGGACAACTCAAGTAAACCATGTGCACACTGATGGCCTCAGTGCTGCCTCTGCCAGCACAGACAAGCCAGAGATGTCGGGCAGGGCAGAACCCACATCTGTAGCCTCTGCACAGGTACCAGCGACAGCCCCAGGTGAGTGAAGGCAGAGCCCTGTCCCAGCTGTGGGAGGGCTGAGTGAACCCACCACACCATAAACCAGGGTCACTCTGCCCCCCCTCATCCCAGCCTGGCCCCTCACACACCCAGCTCTGTGCAGAGGGGTGCCAGAGCTGCTTACACACCCAGCTCTGTGCAGAGGGGTGCTGCTGGCCCCTCACACACCCAGCTCTGTGCAGAGGGGTGCTGCTGGCCCCTCACACACCCAGCTCTGTGCAGAGGGGTGCTGCTGGCCCCTCACACACCCAGCTCTGTGCAGAGGGGTGCCAGAGCTGCTTACACACACGTTAATCCCTTTGAGGTTGCACTCAGTGCTCCAGCAATGTCCCTGTGCCACTGGCAAGGGCCAGCTCAGACCCTGCCAGACAGCTCCACACACATCCTCTGAGTGAATCTCAGGAGCACAAGCACCAATTCTGCATCTTCCTGAGAACCAGAGCCCAGGGATGCACACACAGAGAGGAGGAAGCACCTCTGGGCACTGATTTGTCACCTGTATGATTGCTGTTGCAGTCCAAGAGACAGTGACGTGTCTGACAAAATGGCTTATAGACCTAGAGCAGCAAAAATTCAATGCCTGACAGCTGAATGGGACATCTTCTCCAAACCAGCCACAGGGCTACGAGCAAACACTGAGAGATGTACCTGGGGTGGCTGCAGGGAGCAGGATGAATCCTTAGTGAATTCAGCTGTTAGCTGGCTGCCCAGAAGGGAAAAGAAAGCAGCACATTACAGGTACTCAGAGTGCCTGAAGCTCACAGACCTGCAGGGCCAGCAGCCCCATACTGCCCTCACACCAAGCAAGAGCTCTAAGGGCAGTTCCTGCAGCTTCCTGCACTGGGGGGACGCGGGCAAACACCTGGATCCTCAGCCAGGTGTGGGTCTGGGCAGCTCATCTGCCCACAACGAGCCCAGCAAAGCCAGGACTGGCAACAGGAGACTGCGAGCAGCCACGGGAATTCTTCCTACAGATTTTCCTATAAATAAATAAAAATAGAGAGGAAACACAGCAAGACACCGACGCTTCATTTCAGGGGAGAAAACCAGGCATTTCCCCTGAGAATTTCCCACTTGCTTTCACTCAAACGCCTCATTCCCTTCTTTTTTACCCCGAATTCCTCATTTCTCGCAGGGATTTATCCAGCCGCACGTGTCCCCCACCACATGGGGGGACCCCCCACGCAGGAGCCGGAACACGCGGCTGCCGTGTGGGATTCGGGCAAGGCTGGGGCGGCACCGGGAGAGGCAAAGTGCCCCTCCCGGCCTCGTCAGGGAGGGACGGGGTGACCGAGAGCCCCCGCAGCTGCTCGCCGTGCGGCGCCGCCGGGGCCTGTCGGCGCAGGGCTCCGAAGAGCGCCGGGTGTGGATGCCGCCGCCCCGCCAGCCTCACCCCCTCACCTCCATGGAGACGCGCCATCCCTGCATGGCGCTGAACCCGAAGTGCAGCGGGCGCGGCCCGAGCCCGGCGCCGTCCCCGGAGCTCTTCACCGTGTTGGGCTGCGACAAGTAGGCGCCCATTGCGGCCGCGGCGGTCTCGGTCGGCGGCGACCGGACCGGAGCGGGGGGCGCGGGAGGACTGCGGAGGCGGCGGGACCTCGCACCGGCGGGCGGCGACCGGAAGTCGCGCGGCCGGAAGCTCGGCGGCCGGAAGCACCGACCATAGAGGCGCGGCTAGAGCGGCACCGCGGCCCGCTCCGCCCCGGGACTACCTACACGGCCCGCAGGTGGCTCCGACCTGCCCTGAGGCTCCTCCGGGGGAACAGCGGACTTGGGACCGGCGATGCCGCCGCCAGCCGGAGCCGCTCGCACAGATAAAGCCGCGCACGCTCTCAACTACCAGAATTATCGCCCTGCCCCTCTATATGAGGGGCCCTTGCGCACACAGCACCTTATATAGGCTGAGTCACGCCCACCGGCCAATCAGCGACCGTGAGCGCCCCCTCTCGCTATCTCATTGGCTGTTGCACGAGGCTGCCCCGCCCTATTCATGATCTTTCACGGCCCTTCGCGCAGGGCGCTCCCTGTCGTGTGACGCACTGCGGAGCCCCGCCCGCCGGCCATTGGCGGGTGCTGACGCGCCGCTCGCGGCGCTGATTGGCTGCGGCAGAGGCCCCACCCCGCACGGCGCGTTACGCAGCGCGGCGGTTGCGGCGGGGACGTGCTCGGGACCGGGAGGTGCTGCGGGCCCGGTAAGTGCGCGGCTCCCACCCCTCGGCCCCCGCCTCGCCCCGGGACCCGCTAGGTCGGGCGCCGCTGGCAGGCCCGGGGCGCGGCCCCGGCTGGCAGGCCCGGGGCGCGCCCCACCGTGCCTCACGGACCGCGCCTCTCCCGTAGGGTGTGCGACCGCAGCATGTCGGAGGGCGAGTCCAAGCAGGTGCCCAGCAGCGGCTCCGACCCCAAGCCGGAGCCCGCCTCGTCTGGCCCGGGGATGACCTCGGTGTCTGCGCCGGTGACTTCCGCGGCGCCCCCAGAGGAGGAGGAGGAGGAGAGCGAGGACGAGTCCGAGATCCTGGAGGAGTCGCCGTGCGGCCGCTGGCAGAAGCGGCGCGAGGAGGTCAGTGCCGGGAGCCGGTTCCCGGAGCTGGGCTGCGGCGGAGCCCGGGCGGGGCCCGGCGGGCGCTTGTCCCGCCTCCCCCCCACCTTCCCCCCCGATTCCCGGTCCTCCTGCCACCTGTTCCCGGGAGAACGAGGCCCCGCAGGGGGCTCTGTGGCGCTCCCGGGAGGCGGGGAGGTGCGTGGCCCATCTCGTGCCTCCCGGCTGCCGTTCCTCGGCCCGGAGCAGTGGTGAGTGCCCTGCCGCAGGCCGCTGTGACGGCCAGCTGCTGCTGCTGTGCACTGGGGAGTGGCTCCGGCTCTCCCGGTGCGCGTCGCGTTCCGTAGATCTTTCTCTCTGGGAGCGGTGAAGAGCAGTGACTGGGCAGTTCTGGTGTTCTCCGGGAGTGCGTGGTACCTGCTGCCCAGGTGGCTGGATACCTGAGCCGGTTACCCGGGCTCCTCAGCTTTGAATGCTCGCTTTGCTTTGTCGTCTGCAATCAGGATAGAGCACAGTCAGCTCACGCAGGCTTGTTCCTTGGCCTGTCGTGCCCGTACCCACCCTCGGTGCCTGTGCTGGCAGCGTGCTGTGTCAAGGCACAAGGAGATTAGATCGTGGTGTTTGGGACCTATCCTTTTTTCCGCTCGTTGCTGGGCTCTGTTTTTCTTCCTGGGGGCTGTCTGCACGAACTGGTTTCTGCTCTGTGCTGGCACAGTGCCTCTCCCCTGGCTGGGCAGGCTGTGCAGCCCTGGCAGGTGCTGACAACCAGACAAGTGCTGCTCCAGCACTGCTGCAGCACAAGTGCTGATGGGGCTTTTCTCAGCCAGCTCCCGGGGCTGAGCACAGGGGTTTGTCTGCTTTGTCCACCACTGCAAAAAGGGCAGTGCAAACCCCAGTGGTGGTGAGAGAGTCATTTGTTCTGATGTAAATTTGGAGGTCAGAATAAGGTCAGGGATTCCCTGCAGTTCTTCACCTTTGCTTGCTGAGAGCTGTCTTGGTTTGGTTTAATACGAGCCAAACACTGGAATGGTGTGGTCAGAATGTGCCTTTTCTACTGTGGCTCTGCAGATTGGTTACAAATGTAGCTTTAACACTAGGAAAAGAAAAGTTTCCTTTTTCTCTTTTTTAAAGAAGTGTGAATGTCTGGTTCTGTCCTTCACAATATATTCCATACCTGAAGTGCTTTATCTCCTGCTCTGCTGAAGGGGCACACGCTGGAGAACAAAGCTGGTTTGTTTGTGTTGTCTTTTCAATGTGTTTTATTTAGTGCTGATCATTCTGACACAAAGAGACACAGGGTTTTCTGTGCTCTCCTACACCACAAGTAACATTTGGGAGGCTCTAGTGTTTTCTTTGGATTTCAGTCCCCCCTCAGCAGACAAATTAAATTAATTGACATTTTGGCATGGCTAAATGATTGCCACTGTGGAGGTCAGAGCTCTGCTGTACCACCACAGGCTGAGGGATGGGCGTCGGGGCCACAGAACACATCGTTGTTGAGTGATGTGGGTGAGCTCGGGGCTGCTCCTGCTGAAGCCTTCACTCTGGCACAGACTTGTGTCTGACAGGGAGCAGCCTCAGCTGCAGCTGACCCCGCAGTGAAATCCGGGCGTGTCTCTAGATTGCACACGTGAATTTGTGTCTCAGTGAGCCCCCAGCTTGTGGAGAGGCTTTTGTTGCCTGAACTGCGTGACAGCAGGCTCTCTTTGCTGCCGTAGTCGCTTGGGCTGATCTGCTCTCGCACTGCAGATGTCCCAGCCTGAAGTTTATTCGGTGTAGCAGCTTTGCTGAGTGTCCCAGAGCAGAATGCCCTTTTTCCCGGGGAGGTGTGACAGCTCAGCCCGCTCTGGTTATTCCTGTCTGTGCAGTGTGTTAACAGGCTCTTATTCACCACTGCTCTCAGGGAGATGGTGTGGAAAAAGCATTTGCCGACCTTTCCCCAGTGATGCAATCCCGACCTTTTATCATGGCAGTATCTGCTGGATGTGGGATGCGGTGGCACCGTGGAAACAATGAGACATGATAATCTGGAGAGGAATGGGTGCACACACATGGTTGAGACAGTGTGTTCTGCCTGTGCTCTGGTACTTCCCATGTGTGGCATTCTTTCCTGCGTGCTCTGAGTGCGTGCTCCGGTGTAGGTTTTGAAATGTAATGGCCTCGCTATTTTTTTTTTTTAAAGATTGTTTTACCATCCATGAGCGATGCACTCGCTGCAGCAGAGGTGGAGCTGTGCAGACAGTGCAGGGAGGGGCGGGCTGGCTGTGCGCCGGGGATGTCGGTGCCTGCTCACCGAAACGAGCAGCTTTCGGCGGGACGGTGCCCGCGCCGCCGGTCCCGGCACGGTCGCGGGGGGCAGGACGGCCTGCGCTGGTCGTGCCGTCCCCGCACGCCCTGGCTGCCTGCTCCTGATTCGGGGAAAGCGGCCTCAGGCCTCCCCTAGCGCCCCGCGGCCCGTCCGGAACCGGGACCGGGACCAGAACCCCGGGGCCGGTCCCGGGGCACCGCGGGGCGGGGCCGGGTGGCCAGGGCGGGGCCCGCGGGTCGGCCTCGCCAACCAATGGCAGGCGGCGCGGAGCGTTACATCACCGCCGGCGGCTTCCATTGGCTGCGGCCCGCTCTGGCCACGCCCCGAGGCGGCCGCACCCTCGGGGCTGCGCCGGGCTCGGGGAGGGGACCCCGAGCAGCGCCGGTCGGGGCTGAGCCGTGTCCACTGACCAAAGCACACTGGGTCACAGGGGGAGATGCTGCTGGGAACGGGGCCGAGCGGGGACAGGAGCCCGTGCAGCGCAGCCCTGCAGAAAGGGACCACAGGGACCCGGTGCTGGGCGGCAGCATCTCGGCTGGAGCGAGCATGTGCCCTGGCATCGAGAGGGCAAACCTCGTCCAGGCGGGAGCAGGATGGAAGGCACAGAACCCCATCCTGGGGCTATTACACACAGCAGAATCCGATGTTCATGAGAGGGGATACTCCCTCTATAGGTCTTCTCCCTGGGATCCAGGGCCAGGACACCAGGGAATGGCTCCAAGCTTCATCTGAGGAGGCTCAGGCTGGATAAGAGGGAGCATTTCCTTACTGAGAGGGTCACACCTGCCCCAGGCTTCCTGGAGAGGAGGTCGGTGCCCCAGGCTTGTCTGTGTTTGAGGCATTTGGACAATGCCCAGCATGCTGTGACATGGGCCAGCCCTGATTGGGTTGAACAGTGGAACCAGGAAATCTGTGGAGGTCACTTCCAGCTGGCTATTCTGTATTCTATTCCTGCTTAAATTTCAGATGTAAAAAAGGATTGAGTGTTGAGTTCACTGATTGTAATTCTTCCTATAAACAGGGAGGTTCTGTAGTGCAAAGAGTGTAATTCCCATGAAAGTTCAGAGTAGTTTTAATAAAATTGAATGCTTCTGTGACATTTTTAACTAGAAACCCTTTTTAGCAAGATAGAAAATGCTTATGTTCCCCAAATTCCATTTTTTGTGGAACATGGAGAAGTACCTTTGGTTCCTGCAGTGTTGTGGACTGTGCTGCTTTCCCTCCAGAGCTGGAATTTCCTCCCATGGCTCTGGAATTGTGCCCACATCCCTGGTTGTTCTCCTGACCAGCACGTAGGAGAGGCTTTACAGAGTATCTGGTCCCATGGCTGAAGCACAGGGCAAGACCCACAGCGTGAGGGCAGGGTGGTCACAGGGCTGGTGGGGTCTCCCAGTCTGTGCTCACCTGGCTCTCTTCTGCTTGCTCTCCCTGAAAACCTAACCCCTCTGTTTCTGCTGTCCTGCTGTAACAGGACATTTCCATTTCCTTCTTGCAGCAGCATACATGCATAACTTACTTTTCTTGGGTTGTCCAGGTATCTTGAGAATTATCTGCTGTGCCTCCTAGGAATAGAAACTTCCTAATGGAGCAGGATTGCAGCACTGCATTAGCAGGTCAGGTTTAGCCTCCTGAAACTGAGAGCTTCGTGCCTGCTGTCCCTGCTGGAAGCTACGTGGATGACACATAACTGTAGGAAGAGTTGTGCACTGCTGCAGCAGAATCTTTATTTTCAGCCCGGCGTTGTGGCGTTTGGCTTGGCAAGCTCGTGTGAGTAGGAGAGGCTCAACCCTTCCTAGATGGCGATGTCCTTGGGTTTGCTGGTGTCAGGGCTGTCTGTTCACCAAGTTTCTTTCTGTACATCCTCTGGGGAGGAGAACACCGTGTGACTGTGCAAGCCAAGGCTTTATAAGAAGTGCTTTGTTGACACCTTTGTGGTGTACTTTAGAGAGAAGGAATCTGTGTCGTGTGTGTGGGCACAGGCAGGTCCCCTTTTCGGGGTGTGTGTGGGTGTGTCTGTCGGGGTGAAGAGGGCAGAGGCCCAGCAGGCCTGGGGCTGGCTGCCTGTTCTGTGGGCTCATACAAGGCACAGCCTGCTCAGGCTGGTGCTGCTTTCATCCAGTGCTGCTGCACTCTTCAGCCTGGCACTCAGAGCAGAAGAGGCAGAAAATGGGAGAATGAGTGCTGATCTGTGCTTCAATACCTGTACATTTCCCAGAGAATGTGCCAGGCTCTCAAGAGCAGTGGGAGAGCATTGTGCTGTTCTTGCAGCCCTGCTCGTGTCTGTCCATCATCTGTAAACTTGTCCCCTGCTGTCCTGCACCACGGCAGGCACAGGGGTTGGGCACCTGTCCCACGGACTCTGAAGTGATGAGGGGGATTTTTTGGGTGGCTGAAGGGGACGTTTCAGTTCCTGATGACCTTGTGGCTGGTTGTTGCTCTGTGCCTCATGTGTTACTAACTCATTTGCGGATCGGCTGCTGGACTTTCCCCGATGCACTTTCCGTGTTCTGCCCCACTTCAGTGACTGCTGAGATCAAGATGTTCCTTGCTGCCTTATCTCTGGGCACATGCCTCGTGTCAGTGTGGCTGTGCATGCAGTGGTTGCCACGCTGAATAATTCCTGTTTTTCTGTCTGGGGTTTTTCACCCTCTGATGAAAGCTGCAGCCCTTCACATCTTCCCTTAGAGCGGCGTGCAGACTATGACAGCATCAT